GTAAATTTAAAATGCTTTAAGGTCTCATGAGGAAAGCTACTATRTGATRAATAGTTTTATAATTACGTAGTTATATAATAAAGTATGACATCATGAAAGAAATTATTATTTCTTTGATAGGTGCTTTCTATTTATTACTTGGATATTTTCAAGTAGGTATTTAGCRTTTTGGGCTTTGCAAACAGTTTTTAAAATTCTTAGGTTTCAGTTACGGTTTGAAAGATTTGAAAGCTTTTGGTTTTACTTGTAGCTAGTGTATTGAACWTTAAAACTAGGCCCCTAGTTTTAAATCAATTTAAAAATAATTATTTTGAGCCCTGGTGGCTGGTGTTATGTGATATTGAATTTGTTTGGAAGTTCCTACCTAAATAAATAAATGTCTTTAAGATCAAATTGTCTAAATTATTAAATTTACATAAATAGTAATTAATATTTATATTAGTTTAATTAATAGATATATAATAATAATAATAATAATCAATATATGCATATATAATACYTATGAATACAAAATATTATGTCTGGTTTTATATATAAGCAATGGAAAGTTTTAAGATTAAAAATAAATAAAATTTAATATTGTATGTTATTCAGTGTTGTCAAATTAAACAATATTAAAAACTAAATCAACTTTAACCTTATGTATTTATAARTAATAATTTGGTACAAATTAAAAATATTATTTTAAAGGCTGTTTTTTAAATTGTTATGTTTAGACTTTAAGAGTTCAACTGAGTACCTATTTGCCAGAAATCCTAATTARGTACAATTTATTTTATATTATTTAAATATTAATTTTATTAATGGATAGGCATTTCTAATAGGATTTTGATTAATCTTTTTTATTTTAGTGGTATTAGTAGTTATGTATCAACCATCAATACTATTATTTATACATTTAAAATGAGTTTAGTCTTCATCCTATGCTTGGCCAGAAATGGAACAATGTATACTTTTTTTTGTGACTTATGCTGTAACATACTATGAAATCATATTAAACATTTAACCAAAAAGCAGTATATACTGTATTATACCATTACTTTGAATAATTAATACCTGTTTATTTGATTAAAACTTTTTATTCATTTTTAAAAATATAAA